CAAGACCATTACAAAGCAGAGGTGGGTGACCAGACTGTGAAATAAGCTCCCTCCAGAGGTGGTACAATTGCCTACCCTGGAAATCTTCAAGAGAAGACTGGACAGTCACCTTGCTAGGGTCACCTGACCCCAACTGCCTTTCCTGCCTGGTGCAGGAAGACCCAATGATCTTCTGAGGTCCCTTACAGCCTCGCAATCTAATGAATCTATAAAGCTATGGCTGTTAACCCTTCTGGAGTGAAGAAGAATGAGCTGTGAAGTCAACGAACTTCCTTGGCTGCTGGATGGAGCAGGAATCCAAAGTGGGGGGACAGTTGGGCGCCCTATGCAGGGTAGAAATACCAGCTTCTCCACTTCAGACATGTACCCTGATGGGGGATGGGGGATGATTCCTGGGTACATTGTAGGCTAGTAAATATAGAAACTGAGTTCCCAGCTCAATGAGCTGAGGTACATCCAACCCCCTCCCCACCCCCAGCAGATTCAAAAGCTGCATTCACTGGCCAGACCTTGTGATACCTTAACACCAGTCTCATGCTTTTTAAAAAGGCTTTCGTTTTAACGCACTGGGAACAGGGAGCTCTGGGGTCCTGGCTGCTGGCTAATCCCGGTCAGAGCCAGCTCCAGCTTATAAACTATTTAAAAGAAGGGTATTTTTCTTTGCCCTTCTGTTTTTCCAAGCAGATTGTTTGCCACCCCTGATTCAACACCTTCCTCATTTCCAGGCCTAAATCTATTCTTGGCTCCCGCCACCCCTTGTCCTTCAGCTCAAAGTCCTTCTCGCCTTCCTGCTCAAGTATTTATAGCTCCTCTGTCTCACTGCCAGGCATCTCCACTTCTTCCCCACCATTGCTCCAGCAGCCCAAAAAGGAGAGAGAGTTTGGGGTGCTAATCCCCACCTCTGCCCCAAGCATGGGATACAGGCAGGAATGACCTGGTTGCATTGACTGGGAGAGGCTCTTCTGTGCTGGTCCAGTGCCCCTTGGAGGAGAATCGTGACACTGCAACATGTATCATAGCCTGGGGTCAGGCAACAGGCAGGGGTGGGGATGGCACTTTATAGACTAACTTGGTGGGGGGGGTGACCTCTTTGGCAGGGAGCCACAGAGTAATGCCAGGCCCTTCCCTGAGCACTACTCTGATCCCTTCCCATGCCCAACCAGCAGCCCTGTTTCCTGTTCCCTACCCCATTGGCTAATTTCCTTTCTGCTCCCTACCCTGGGCTCCTGGCCCCATCAGTTGCTCTACTTTCTGTTCCCTGCCCCATCTGTTGTTCTGGTTTCTGCTCCCTGCACCACCTGTTGCTCTCCTTTCTGCTCCCTGCCCAGAACTTCCTGTTCCATCAGCTACTCTGCTTTCTGTTCCCTTCCCTATACTCCCTGCTCCATTGGCTGCTCTGCTTTCTGCTATCTGACCTGTGCTCCCTGCACCATTGACTGATCTCTTTCTGCTCCCTAACCTATCCACCACTATGTTAGATCCCAGACTACCTCAGAAAACGCCAACTCTTTGTTTCCAATCCTTTCCTGACTATAGAAAAATCCCAGAGAGATTCTACTACAGCAAAGGCTTCATCAAACCCAGAACAGGGTGGAGTGGTTTTAATCTCATAACTAAGAGATGGACCCCTCCCCCACCTCCTACCCCTGTCACTGACTGGTGTCAGGGGAGGGGGGGCATGTTCCCCCCTGACTCAAGAGGCACCAGACACCCATGGTGGTCTAGCATTGGAGCAGGCTGCCCAGACATGTGGTGGAGTCTCCATCCCTGGCTGTGTCCAAGAGTAGGTTGGATGGACACTGGGATGCAGGTTGGATGATTTAGGATGCATCTGGTGAAGCAAGCTGATTTCATAAGTCTAGAAGGTGCACATCTACCCTGACGTCTGGGCTAGTTTAGCTAAGGGAGATCCTGCCTGGAGCAGGGGGTTGAGCTAAATGAGACCTTGTGGGGCCCCTTCCAGCCCTGCTTTCCTGATGATCTCAGGATTTACCTGTTGATCTCTGAGTTGATCTGATATCTGGGTTGATCTGATGATCTCTGGGCTGATCTGAAGAATGAAGACTGCCCAGTAAATCTCATACCAAAGGGATCACTATGGAAATTGGCTCTGAGATCATAGAAAATTAGGGTTGGAAGGGACCTCAGGAGGTCACCTTGTCCAACCCCCTGCTCAGACCAGGAACATCCTCAACTAGATCATCCCAGCCAGGGCTTTATCTAGCCGGGTCTTGAAAACTTCCAAGGATGAAGATTCCACCACCTCTTCGGGTAACCTGTTCCAGTGGTTTACTACCTCCCCTAGTGATAAAATTTTTATTAATATCTAACCTAAACTTCCCTTGCTGCAACTTTAAACTATTGCTCCCTGTTCTGTCATCTACCACCACTAAGAGTCCAGCTCCGTCCTCTTTGGAGCCACCCTTCAGGTAGTTGAAGGCTTCTATCAAATCCCCTTTAGTCTTCAGAAGAGAAGACAAATAAACCCAGTTCCCTCAGTCTTTCCTCATAAGTCCCCCAGCCCCCTCACCATTTTCTTTTCCCTCCACTGGACTCTCTCCAATTTCCCCACATCCTTTCTATAACTGGGGGCCCAAAACTGAACACAGTACTCCAGATGTGGCCTCACCAGTGCTGAATTGAGGGGAATAATCACTTCCTTTGATCAGCTGGAAACATACCTACTAGTGCAGCCCAGGATGCTGTTAGCCTTCTTGGCAACTAGGGCACACTGTTGGTTCATATTCAAATTATTGTCCACTATAACCTCCAGGTCCTTTTCTGCAGAGCTGCTGCCAGGCCAGTCAGCCCCCAGCCTGTCCCGGTGCATGGAATTGTTCCATCCCAGGGCAGGCCTTTGCACTTGTCCGTGTTGACATGAGATTTCTTCTGGCTCAATCCTCCAATTTGTCTAGGTCACTCTGAATCCTACCCCTAGCCTTCAGCATATCTACAACTCCCCCCAGCTTGGTGTCATCTGCCATCTTGCTGAGAGTGCACTCTACGCCATCTTCCAAGTCGTTGATGAAGACACTGAACAAAATTGGCCCCAGGACCAACCCCTGGGGCACTCCGCTTGATAACACCTGCCAACTACAAATCGAGCCACTGATTACTACACTCTGAGCCAAATGTTTGAGCCAGTTTTCTATCCACCTTACAGTCCATTCATCCAGCCCGCACTTCCTTAGCTTGCCTGCGACAACATTGTGAGAGACTGTATCAAAAGCCTTGCTAAAGTCAAAGTATACCACATCCACTGGGCTCCCCGCATCCACCTCATCATAGAAGGCAATCAGTTTGGTCAGGCATGACTTGCTGTTGGTGAATCCCTGCTGACTGTTCCTAATCACCTTCATCTCCTCCAAGTGCTTAGAAATGGATTCCTTGAGGATCTGCTCCATGGTTTTTCCAGGGTGCCCAGTAAGTGGCCAAAACAGCTCTTACCATATTTCTTGCATATAAATGAGCACTCTGATACCCAGCAGCTGGGCACTCTGGGGAAATCTCACACCAAAAGTATTACCAAGGGGCTGAAACTGCTCTTCCCATATTTCTCATGTATAATGAGCATTCTGATTTACAGCAGCTGGTTTTTTGTTTTTTTTCAGGCCGGGCTGAATAAGCTGGAAGGAGATACTGAGGGAAAGGCACTTGGCCACAGACTTTGGCGTAGGATGGAGGGTGATGTGTCCTTGCCGATGACTCAACCTTCAGGCTGAAGGGGCCCTGGCAAGGCAGCTCCAGGGAGGGGGTGGAAGGGAGAAGCGCCAAGTCTGGACGGTCAGCAGAGCTCCCTGCTATTTGCATGCTGCTGTAGTGAATTATTCACCTCCAGGTCTCCTGAGGCCTCTGGCAGCTGAGATCTCCCCCCCTGCCAAGAGCAGCATGTTCTTCGCTGAGGTCTGTGTGCCTGAGAGGTTTGTGCGCCTGGCGCCAGACAGGCCCGATAGGAGCAGAACCCAGGCATCTGGACTCCCGGCCTCCCCCAACGGAAACTAAAACCCAGGCATCCAGGCTCACAGCCTCTCACCCTGCTGCCCCAACTGGAAATGGTGTCTGAGCCCCTTTCCCCCCGCAGCAGAGAAGACAACCCAGGCAGCAGAGGTCCCAGCCCCTCCCGCAAACAGAGCAAAAACCAGGAGTCCAGGCTCCAGCCTCTCGCCGACCCAAGCAGAGAGTCCCCAGGCACCCGCACTCCCAGCCCAGACCTGCCCCTCCCAGAGCAGAAACCCTGAGTCCTGGCCCCAGGCCCCACTTAAACTAGGTCAGGGATTCTGTGGCCACCAATGGCTGCGCAGCCTCCTTGCCCCTCCCCCCAGAAGTGGCTGCACCCAAGGGCCCCAGAGCATGCTGGGAGCTGTAGTTCCCACCTAAGCCCCTGGCACACAGCATGCTGGGAAGTGTAGTAACTGCCCCAAAGTTTCACAGGAAAGACCATGTCTAGCTTCAGCCTTCGGTGCTGACATGAACCCCTACAGCTCCCGTTGACACCTGCCCTACTGTGCTCCTATTGGCTACCTTTCAGGGGCAGGCTCACACACAGGGCTCCACACTGATTGGTGGAAGGGCAGGGCTGAGTGCAGGGATTGGTGGAGCTGCGGGTACTTGGCTGTGTAGGTCAAAGGCAGGTGAGAGATGCACCTTATAGACTAACTAAAGATGTATAGAGAACAGAAAAACCCAGACATCTGGACCCCAAGCCTCCTGTCCCCGTGGTTCCACCCCAGAAGCAGTCACATTTCAATTCCAAGATTGACCTCTGCCCCCACCCCCCCAAAACGTGCATTCTGGCCCCAAAATGCTTCACAGAAACATAAAAGTTACCTCCCCCAAGAGCTAATTTCAACCAAGGCCACTTAGCTCTCAGTTGGGTCTCCCATCCCTGCCCTAACCCAACCAGACCCTGCTTAGTTTTGCAAACTCAAACAACAGCCCAGTGGAGGGGGGGGGGGGGGGGGGGGG